TAATAATGTTTTACATCCAGTGTCAACCTCCTGGTTAAGGTAGCAGTTCTTCTCTGCTTTTATTTCCATTTTTTTGAAGTTATGTCTGCCCATGTACTTTCATGAGACTGATCAGTTGAAGTTGAAGTGGTGATAAAAAAACACGGATATACCAGTTTTGACCCTGTAGTATTATTAGGCTACTTAGCTAATCTACACACTTTACAGGAACATTGCCTGGTTAGATGACTTTGGCGTAAACACACATGGGTGAGGGGGCGGGTTAGGGTTAGCTCTACATCACATTCAACAGGCAGCGTGTCACAGAAAATGAGACAAATACAAAGAAACATGTTTGACATCCCAGATTTATGACCGAAGTTGTCCTGGCGCCCATCAAGGATGTTAGCAGTAGCTTGGGCTAGCATTGTTCTGCAGTTCACATTACTGTGACTAAAATACAAATATTGCAGACATTGAAGTGGGTTGGGATTTGCAAATTCAAGGGTGTGTATCTTAGATAACTACATAGAAATGCAGCGTGGAGACGGTACAGGCTCATGCTACATCAGACACCCCAGCTGCCTATACTCAACCACAAGGTCTGGTTTAAACTCAGGGACATCATTTAGTATCTCGTTAACAGTTCATTCAGTCATGTTATTTGTTTTAATTAGCAGGAATGATATACTGTAGACATGATGGTGGCACTGTTGTCTGCAGCGACAAGGTTGTAGGTTTGAATCCCAACTTCTGCCTTATTGCGTGGAGTTTCATGTTCTCGCCGTGTGTGCGTGTGTGTGTGTGTGTGTGTGTGTGTGTGTGTGTGTGTGTGGGGGGGGGGGGGGTCCTCTGCATACTTGGGTTTCTTCTCACAGACCAATAAGCATATCAGTTTTATTGGAAACTGAAAATTGTCCCTCAGTGTGAGTGAGTGTGTGAATGTTTGTGTGTCCCTGTGATGAACTAGTGACCTGTCCAGGGTGTCTCCGCCTCTCACTCCATGACTGCTGGAGTTAGGCTCCTGCTCTATGTGAACCTACTGATAATGAAGTGGTTAAGGTGAGGATTTGCACTCAACAAGTCTTCTACTTTATTCTAATTTTGATAACAACGTAGAAGAGTTTGTCTAGATTATCAGAGAAGTACTCAATATTTTCTGATTTGACTTATGACCCAGAGATTGATTGCGCCCTGTAGGATTTTTCCCGCCTGTCGTAGGTGACAGCTGGAATGGTCTCAGACCCACGGCCCCCTCCAACATGAACCCAGCAAATAAATAACCACACCAACTTGCCTATTTTTTATAGGGGTTAAGAGACAATTATGTTTTTAATTAAAAGAACAATGTAATAAAAAATAAATAAAAAAACTCTTTAAAATGTCTGTTCTAGTAGAATTGTGTCCTAAACAAGACGTCTGAGAAGAAACATTTTACATCCAAAATTTTTAAATTAGCTTTGTAGCTTCAAAAAGTTAATGAAAATTCTCTTGAAATTTACAAAATAAATCAAATAAAGACTGTCACCTTCACATAAGAGGACTAATGCAAATTTAAATATATATTTATGCTGGTCAATAAATACAGATCCCAGTGTTACGCAACACATTGAGTAACTGGAATTGATTTGTGCTCCACAAACTAATGATTGATGTTAGTGTCCTTTTATACTGGGCATCAAGACCACACACACACACACACACACACACACACACACACACACACACACACACACACACACACACACACACACACACACACGCACACACACACACACACACGCACGCACGCACACACAAACACACACACACACACACACACACACGCACACGCACGCACGCACACACACACACGCACGCACGCACACACACACACACAAAGGGATGAGTAATATGGCCTAGAGCAGAAAATCAACAAAAAGTGAAGTGTGGGGTAGAGACAGTCATCCATCTTTCACGTTCACTACTAACATGTCTTTCCCGTGACCAAGTTCACACACACACACACACACACACACACACACACACACACACACACACACACACACACACACACACACACACACACACACACACACACACACACACACGCCCGCACGCACGCACACACACACGTACAATGACATCCAATATCAGCTAATTGGGTAATCCTTTTAGTGCATTGTAAAGGAGATTGAGCATGAATAGGGCCTCCGTGGTAAAGTGCAGAATACCAGACACTCATTACTGCTCCAGAGTGAAGGAGATGGAGTACCAGGCACAGAGTGACGAGCACGAGCAGAAAGAGAAGCAGACACAGGAGAGGAGGGGAAATTTATATTCTGTGAGGCTAACGGTGTATCATATATTGATAACTGCTGCCCAACTCACAGTCAGTGTATCCTCCACAGAGTAAAGTTCCGTTTTCCCTGGAAGGATTAAATATGAATATGTGTGTAAACATTCATTACTGATTATTTTTTATCTTGATGTCTTCTGCTTGCAGGTGCATGGCTGAATCTTTGATAAAAGGCCAGCTTTTAGTAAAAGGACCCCCCCCCCCCCCCCACACACACACACACACACACAAACAAATTAGATTGCATTCAACTCCTGTTACGTGCATCCAGATGAGACATCAGGCCGACTAAATGATCGACCTCCTTGGGTCTAAATAGATAAGGAGGTGTTTTGCATCACCTGCTGGATTTGTATGGCTGACCAGATCCTGCCCCTGAAGTGCAGCATTTGCATAACCTTGGCAGCCGGAATATAGATGAAATCACATTTTAATGGGAGTCTGAACGGGAGCATTTAGTGCTGCAGTAAGAAGAGAGAATTTAGGGAGTCTTAAAATCATGTTTGTGAAGTTTTATTTTATGTGTCTTCATATAAAGTATAAACGTATTGACTTATACTACGTTTCTGGGATTTTCCGAAGCACAAAGGGTACTGTGAAAGTGATTCAAAGCAGTTAGATGCATCCTCTGCTAGATTCCCTTCATCGTGGTCAGCTTCTCTGTCATGAAATATTTACCTACTGAGCTTTTATTCCTCTCAGAGATAAAACTGGTGAAAATGCACCATAACAGGCAGAAAGTATTTTTAGACGTTCTGAAGAAATCCTCATCAATTATGCATGCACATATACCTTTTCCATGACTCATCATTTACTTTAAACAGGATGTTTTCAGTATGCAAAAAAACCTGAACAACTTGAAAAATGATTTTTAACATTTTAATCATTTTAATAAATTATCATCCAAATCATGCAGTTTTTTTAATCCAAGTGAAAGATGCAGGATATTTTTATTATAAACTCACCCACCCTGCCTTCTCATTCCACTCCTTGTAAAAAAAAAATAATAATAATAGCATCACAGAATGGTGATATTCATAGATAGATGGAGAAGAACGAGGCCTTTTCTTGCACCAGGACCCACTGACCTGCAAGCTGAAGACTCGGTGATAAGATTGTCATTCCTGAGCATAAACCATCCTCCCATCCTCCTAATCTGCTGTGGCTGTGTGTGTGTGTGTGTGTGTGTGTGTGTGTGTGTGTGTGTGTGTGTGTGTGTGTGAGCAGTGTAATATGGGAGTACAAGAAGACACAATGAGCTCACTTTAAGGGGTCTATATCCTCCAAAAAGCAGCTGGAAATCTGTGCCGCAGGCATTACCTGCGCTCAGCTCTGAAATGAAAGCTCTATGACTTTGCAATACTAAACTGTTCACTGTGAGAAAACGCAGCCTGTTATTTCAGCACTTTTGTAGCTGTCACATGTGACAAACGGGAAAAGCGGATGTTTAAACGGGAAAAGCGGATGTTTTTGTATCGTTGCAGCAAGTTTAAATGCATGGTGAGATGAGAATCGGAGATGCAGGGATGCTGTACTTTCCTTACAGCCTTCATTCACGAGACGATGCTGCGCCGGGGTATCTGGGACAGTTCTTTTCAGAATCATTTAGCAGGTCATCCCTGATTGTCACTCAGTGCATGCATGGAAATAAATGCTAAAATTATTTAGGGATGTAGAACAATTAATCTTTGTGAGCTACCTGAACTTAAACTTTTCCACTTTCCACACGTGAGAAGACTTGTTTCAGAAGATCCGTCCCTGCTACTGTCTTCCTGTCCCACCCGTGTGGTCCACCCCACATGACATTACAGAACATAGCAGAGCACAACGTGTCTGAACAGGCTGTTTTTAACTTTCTCACTCACTTTGTCACCGACACAATGTGGTGTAACTCACAATGTCTGCACGCCTCAACACGTACCTGATGGTACACAGGTGTGACAGAGCTGAATCTGCTTTCATGCTCTCCTCAGGTTGCAATCACTTACCTAATAATTATTAGGAATGTGTGGGACAGGTATCATTTGTGTTGTTCTGTTCTGTGAAATAGCTCACCTGATAATATCAGCTCAGTTTCACCAGAATTTTCTTCCTACTTCCTGAATTTCTGGTGTGTAAACTGAGATCTGCAGAAGTACGAGAGCCCTAAAGACACCAGGCCTTATGGAGATCATTTTCAAATAAATAAAGAAGAAATCAGACTCTTTCTGACTCCTACAAGTCAATTTACTACATCAAAGCAGCAAAGAGCTTGAAGAGCTTTTCAGCTGAGAAACTTAGAATAAGTCAGAATATCTAATCAGCCATGCAGCAGTCATGATTCTGTCTAATGCTAAAGGAAACCTCGTTTACATGTTGTTGCTTGTATTTAAAGAGTCTAAAGTCAGCCTCTACCATCATTTATCCCATTTTAAATCCAGTCAATCAACCGAGCGTCCCTCAAGTCCCTCTGGAGCTGACTTACCTCCACTATGGTCTGTCTGCCCCCACAGGAACAATCACTGCCACTGCTGCTGCTGCTGGGTGTGGATGGACAAACCTCCACTAGCTGGACAAAAGCTAAAGCTAATGTGGAATAAAAGTGTGTATTATTGTTGCTGATGGATCCACTCGTCTTCAGCGATTGGTTTGTTCAGTCCGTCCCGCCTCCCATTCTGAACACTGTCCCATTCCTCCATACACACTTCTCTTTCTCTCCTTCCTTTCTCTATACTGTATCCTTGTTGCCTCCCTCCTGAACTCCCTCCCACTCCCTCCTTCTCCCTGAACATCCACCCCTCTGTCCCATCCACCCTCCCTTTGCCTTCTTTTTTAAAAATCTCCTGACTCGGACACCTCCTGTATACATTTCTCATTAGCTGTGCACTCCTCCTCTCACTTTATTCCTGTCTCTTTGAACTTGTTTCCCCTCACTTTTCACCTTGTTTGTTCCATTTTCACTAGCGTTTGATGACATCACGGTCTCTCCTTGCATACATGCTGCACATCATCTGCTTTTACATGCTCACAAAGCACGAGAAACAAATCTGCTGAAATCCATGTTTTGTTCTCAGGAGTTACTTTGTGTGATGAGGCACCCTCGTGAAACTGTTCAGCCCATATGTGTGCATGTCTGTGCACCAGCAAATAAGGATTCAGTGCATAGCTGCTGGGTTGATGACTCATTGATCAACTTGTGCATTTAACCCGCTTCTGCTGCAGCTGACTGAACAAAAGACGAGGCTCTGTTGTGCTTTCAGTTTATTTATGCGTCACACAAGTTCAGTAAAACATCATCATAACAGCGCGCAGGTTATAACCTCGCAGATAAGTCTCGGCTTTGCCTCTCGAGCACATCCTGCCGTCTCTCTCTCTCTGCCTCGGCTCTTGTTAGGTCTGTCTGTATCTATTATGTTCCCCCGTGCCCGTCTTTCTCCTGCTTGTTATTTTCATCTTGTCTTTTGCCTCTTTTAAAGCCCATCCTCATTTCTCAGTTTTAATCTTTAGCCCCAAAAAGGCTCAGCAACTGCTGTATTAATATGAAAAAAAAAAATCTAAAGTTTCCATCTTTAATACTGATATTATAAAAAGCGTTACGTTTGAAGTTGGCTGCGTAGAAAAAAAAACACCCTATTACTCATTACCATCTGGGCATGTTTGGTGGAGATATAAAGACTTCCTTCGGTGGTCCTGGTGTGCCAATTTGTCTTGAAATGATATCCCACCCTTCAGACTGGATAATGAAATGTATTCAGCAGCCAGGAACACAGTCAGAGATGCTGCCTTTACACTCAGCAGGCGCCAAAGTCGTGCAAGCCTTTATTTAAAGGTGTTTTCCGGGAGTTGACATCAACCTGTAATTTCAGCAGAGTCCAAGGAGCTTTTGAATGATCTCATTTTAATACAGCATGGTATCATCTACCAGTTCTAATGCCGCACTGAGGAAAAGCAAAACATCCCCAGGTTGTTTCAGCGAGTGATAATGAGAAAACACACTAATGTGCTCATGTAACTTAGCCTTGAAGTACAAAAACAGTGAGGAGCAACATTTATTTATGGCACCTTTGCAAGCATTGTTTGCATAGGAGGACTGTTTGCGCATTAACTGTCTCTGATTTATAAGCCTTACAGCTCGTCTCTGAAGACAACAGAAAACAGGAGATATTTGGCATTTACTGCAAAGTAAATTAACTGCAGTAAATTTTGTGGTTGGTATTTTTTTATGCTCAGGGTCTCAAGCTGGGCTGCAGGAAGTGATTGGACTTCTATTTGCTCTTCCAGAACATACTTCCTTTTCCTTGTTTGTCCCCCACACCCCCATTTTTCTGCTCAACCCTCCCTCCACCCACACACGCACACACACACACACACACACACACACACACGCTCACAGATAAACACATGGACGCAAATCAATACCTTGTGGAATATAAACTCCAAGCCTTGTGTTGGTGATCATGCTGGCATACCCTGACCCTGGACATGAGGCCAGGAGCAGGACACAGCTGAACGAACACACACACACACACACACACACACACACACACACACACACACACACACACACACACACACACACACACACACACACACACACTTGTTCATTCATGTAAATGAACCCGTTCACATAAAGTATTTCAAAACCACAATTCATCGCATTTGCATTTATTCCCCAAAACAACAGAAAAGAGCCAAATTCACACACTTCAGTGATTTTAAAACGTTTTGTTGTTATTTTTTAAATATAAGCCCGATCTGTTGCCTTGCAGGCCACTCTGGCAGAACCGGTGGATTCAGGCAGCTGAATGAACTCTAAAATAAATCCATACTAAACAGAAGCGGTCATGTCAGCGGTTTTTCACACACGGAGCAAACATCTGCAGGTACACTCTCACTTTTACAAAAGATTAAAATCAGTTTAGAATGTTGGATTTATTTTATTTCACACAGCAAATAGTGGCCAGTGGGTAAAATACCTTTTATTTATCTGTTTGCTGAGCTAATATTAGTGGATTGCTGTTTATTTGGGCATTAGCTACTGGTACAGCATTATCATAAGGTGAAACTTTGGATTTCTTGATAAAAGCTCTATCTGGCAGTAAAGCAAGCTCCACCTCTTCAGGTGTTTAGGATAAAACTTGTTAGCTTTCCCCCAACACCTGACCTTTTGTTTGCATTGCGATTAAGTGCTTTTATTTGTGTTTATTGATTTATTACTCTTAGGCTATTTGTATCCTCTTTTAACAGTTATTATGTCTATCCATGTTTTATTACTGTATTGTTCAGCATCTTGGGCTTCTGCTAAGATGGGAGAAGGTCCTAAACAAATTCATTTAATTGACAGAAAAAATAAATTTTTAGTCCTTTTTGTTTGGGATCTTCTAAGTCTGTCTTGCCTGTCATTTGTCTATTTTAATGGGTTTTAGGACTTTTCTTTGATGTTTAATTTTTTTTGGATCGTTCCATGTAACAAATCATGGTTTTTCCTTCTGTTTCCATTCCTGTTATCACTCAGCTGCCTCTGATTGCACTTATACAGGTGAAACTGGAAAAATTAGAATATGGTGCAAAAGTCCATTTTCCTCAGTAATTTAACTGAAGAAGAAGAAGAAAATATCATTTCTATAGCACCTCTCAAGATAAAACTCACGAGGCGCTTCACAAAAACAAAAAATGTAAAAATATAAAAAGCATTTAGAAAATGTTCAAAAATATATTTAAAATGAGCAAAAATAGGTAATTGTGATTAAAAAATGTTAAGAAAGAGAGAGAGTGAACAGGAAAGAGGGAAATCAGTGGATCCTGAGGAAGGTGGAATAGGTGGGGAGAGCAGAATAAAGAGAGAGTGGTGAAGAAGATCATACAAAAGCCAGCTTGAACAAATTAGTTTTCAGCTGCTTTTTAAAGGAGTCCACTGAGTCCACTGATCTCAGGCTCAGGGGGAGAGAGTTCCAGAGTCTGGGGGCCACAGCAGCAAATGATCTGTCACCTTTGGTCTTTAGTCTGGTGCTGCACAACCAGTAGGCTTTGATCACTGGACCTCAGGGACCTGCTGGGGGTGTAGGGACTAAGAAGATCACCAATGTAAGATGGTGCTTGTCCATATAAGGCCCTATAGACCAGAACCAGGATCTTGAAATGAACCCTGAAGTTGACTGGCAGCCAGTGAAGCTGGAGGAGAAGCGGGGTGATGTGGGTGTGTTTGGAGGACTTGGTCAGAAGCCGAGCACAGGCATTCTGAACCACCTGTAGACGGTTCAGGGAGGTTCTGCTCAGTCACGTGAAAAGAGAGTTACAGTAGTCTAAAGCCTGGTTTATGCTTCTCCGTCAGCTCCGCAAGGGACAGACACGCACGGATTGACGGAAGTGTTTTGCTCTTTTACTTCTCCATCTCCTGGAGAGTGTTGCAAAGCAATTGCCCGGCAGGACCACAGAGGGCGTAGCGCTGTTCTGTGGTATCCTGTCATGTATCGGTCCAAGATAGTGTGTTTATATTGTGTTTTTTGTGTTTATAAGAGACTTTTAACATGGACATATTTGTCTCTCATTGTCCCACCGCTTCATGCGCTCCCCACCTCTAAACCCACGTTTCCTGTCATTTCTGTCCACAAATAAAATGCTTGCTGCGCATCTTTTCACTCCTCCAGTCACAGGAGAATTAAAAGTTCATATTTTTAGAGATTTTTTGCGAGATATTTTTCAAGCTTCTCCGTGTCTGCCGCTAGTTAAACTCGGCTCTCTTTGCAATGGCGGCGCTGTAAACAACAGCGGCATCCTGACCAATCACAAGCTTGCGTAATCCGTCTCGTTCGACGGATGTTTAAAAAAGTGGGCTCGACTCCGTACGTACTTGCGTGCCCTACGCAAGGACGGATAATGGCGTTGCGTGTCTCCGCACTGACGCAGATGGAGAAGCATAAATCAGGCTTAAGAGTGAGGAGATGAAGGTGTGGATAACTGTCTCAAGTTAAGAGCGGGACAGAATGGGACTCAGCTTAGCAACGTTCCTGAGATGGAAGAAGGAAGAGCGAACAAGAGAACTGACATGAGAATCCAGGGTGAGAGCTGGGTCAAAGGTCACGCCAAGATTCCTGACGGAGGTTTTGGTGTGAGAAGCAAGCTGACCAAGAGAGTCTCTGACTTTGGGAACCAGCTTGTCTGGGGCACAGATGAGGATCTCAGTCTTATCTTCATTCAGCTGTAGAAAGTTCCCAGCCATCCAGGTTTTGATGGAGTCTAAGCAGGTGTGTAACATTTACAGCTTAGACATCTCATGGGGCTTAAAGGAGATGTACAGTTGGATGTCATCTGCATAAAGATGGTAGGAGATTCCTTTGAAGGAGCTCAGGATGTGCTGAAGAGGAAGCAGATAGAGGAGGAAGAGCAGAGGCCCCAGCATAGAACCTTGTGGGACAACTGAGAGACCATCTAAAGGCTCAGGAACCCTTTGCAGGTGTTTTGGATTCATCAGCTGATTTGAGTGTGACACATTGAGTCTAGAATATTGAATCTTTTCATAATATTCTAATGAGATTTTGAATTTATGGTTTACATAACCTGTAATCATCACAATTATAACAAATAAAGGCTTGACACATCCGGCTTTGCACGTGATGAGTCCATCTCACATATTTGTTCCACCTTTTAATTACTGAAATAAATGAACTTTTACATATTGAAATTTTTAGTTTCACCTGTAGGTCC